GGGCAGCATTCCATTTTTCTCAACAAGAACTTGGTGGTCTAGAAGGTGATCCCATTGTAATTGTCAAAGGGAACATAGATGACAAGTTGCACAGTCATAGGGCGTAAGAATTGCTATGGCTTCCTTCACGGCTGCTGTTGTTTTTTTTTTGAAATCTGCACCTATCTCTACGTTCGTGCTGTTTCTACTTTTTAAACAGTCACTTCCAGGGTGCTATCTTAGGTGGGGGGGGGGGACAACGCGGCGCAAGTTCGCCATAGTTCTGCTTCTCCAAGGCTTAGTCTCCCGATGGCGAGTATTTATGTATTGAGTATTTCGAAACTTCCACATGATGGCGAAATAGTAACTGCCCCTGGGGCTAAGCCTTGGAGGAGCAGGTGATTGCATCTTCATCAGGTAATGTTGAATCCATTGACGGGCATGCACCACTTCATTTGTATTCAGTCGTTATGTGGGAGAAAATCTATCCATTTCTCTCGTACGGCTGGTTAAGTAGCGCTGATAGGGCGCATTCATGGGAGGTTGTCCAATCGTAACGATCGCACAGCGTTAAGCTGGTGTCAGAGTCCGCGATCCGTCGCAGGTTTCGCGTCAAACCTCGCGAAAATCGCGTAAATCGCGCTCGCGCAAGACGCGAAGATCGCGCAAATCGCGAAAATCAGCGGAACCTACGGCCGATGTCAGACTTTGCGAATCGCGCGATTCGCTACTAGCGATTCGCGCGATTCGCTAGCGTCCGCGGTCGCGTTGCGGTACCAGCCAATTGAGTGATTCACTGGCCGCGACGCGACCGCAGACGCTAGCGAATCGCGCGATTCGCAAAGTCTGACATCGGCCTACGACGAATCGCGGACTCTGACAGCAGCCTTGGATACCTATCGAACGTCCAATCCTCGGACATGTCTCACGATCGATACGCATCCAATGCTGTGCGATCGTTACGATCGGATGATCTACGATGAATACGCCTACACGACTGAAGTGAAAGCGCATGTAAGTGTTTCTGTTATGTTGCTGAGCATGTAAAGTATTATCCCAGTACGAGGTTGTAATGGGATCTGCACCTGCTGCCTGACAAACTTATCCTGTCAGTTGTTCCATGGAATATTTCCACACTCTGGCAAGGTCCGATATTTGCAGCCTCTTCCTTTTTGTATATTTCCATGTGGGTAACCGTTACGACTTTCTGTTTTCATTGATTATTTGCCGGATATATGTATTCGAAGGTATTCCTTTTTGTTTGTGTTGACGAGTCTGCCTGATTGACCGATCGACCGACCTAAATACCGTTCTCACTAGAGCTCAACTCAGCTAGAATTGATCACGAGCCACAGTAGTGTTTGTAATGAAAAGAGATGGTGATCGCGAATAACTGCTTGTTTCGACGAAGGATTAGTAAAAGGAAATAAAGTCGTGTCAAGTGCCATCTCAGTGCTACCCAGGAGTAATGAGAGCGCTAAAAAGCTGCGTATGTTTGCACATTTAGAAGGACACCAGCATCAGATTTCAACGCAAAAGTTTCACTGCGATTCCTCTGTGAGAAACGGCGATGCGGAGGAAACGCGGCGGGGCCGGCGGGTGGTGAAACGGGAGTGGGGATGCGGAAAGTAGGATTAGAAGGTTTCAACGTTGGGGCCGAATTTTCGGGGATTGCGGCAGTATTCTTAGGCTGTCATTTGGTAGCATTGCGTAGTACACTTGAAAAGCGATTGGGTTTGCCTATGCTATGGTATGGACTTGCGAGGGCAGGTCCGAGTGACGAAGGTCAGTGTTTTGTCCTCCAAGCCACTGGTACGACTGTTCCGTAGTCGCAGGAGAGTGAAGAAATTTTTGGGCTTGGGTGGGCCCGGGTTGACTCAATCGGGTCTAGGTGATTTGTCGCTCCGGCGAGCCACTGACCCAGGAGTCGGTATCCCCGGATGTGTGTTGTAAGTCTTGCGCCACTTGCTATTGACTACTTCCGACATTCATGTTGGAGGTAAGTGGGAAATAGTATCCATTAGGGTCATACGCCGCTCTTATGGTACGACTGTAACTAGCAGGTGCGCATAAATTATGGGTAAAGAGGTATTAATGACACAGAAGCCGCAGGTCGTCCGTGAGCGCATGCGACTCTTCGACTGGATTAGTTGTATGCAAATTATCTTAGCAATCTTGTGACGATTCGTTGTACGAAGCAGTGGGTTGATCTTTATCTTGTTAGAGCCATCGCAGTTCAGTTGATACCGACATAAGTGGCGGTCATCCTGTAGGATTGTGGATAGTAATCTACCGCGTTAGTGATGCGCATGCGAATAATAACGTTTTGTAAGGGCATTTTGGACGGCCCTACTCTCACACGAGACGTAGATCTTGCCGCTCTAGACGAGTGCGGCTTTCTTTGTTACGAACGTCGGTGACAGTATGCTTTCATTTGCTATGTGTGTTTCATTTGTATTTTTGAGCTATCAGCCTTGTTCGCTCGTCTCGGTCGCCGTAGTTCCGACGTTAGTCGGCCTGGACGGACAAGCCGACTATGACGTCGGTCTAAACCAGGTGTGGGAACTTGACTGAATTGCACGAGACGTTCGTCTAAACGATTATCGAGGAGGTAGCAACGGTGCATATGTCATGAGGTCGTTGTCAGCCAGTTGTATTTTTCGGCGGTTAAGGCTGGTGTCAGAGTCCGCGATCGTCGCGCGATTCGCGCGAATCGCAAAAATCGCAAGTGCCCCATTTGAACATTTGAAACACTGAATATGAAACAAGTAGAATCATGAACAGTCGTCATTCAACCATCACCATCAAGCAGAAATGGCGGCGGAGAGCACCTCGCAGTATTGATCGGGCACTTGTGATTTCCGTGATTCGCGCGACGGATCGCGGAGTCTGGCATCAGCCTGACGCTTCCATTTCTTGGATCGATCCATAAATAGCGTCATATTCCAGCTTCCGATTCGCCTACTTTCGGATGTTTTTTCCGGAGTCTAACATGGGATGAAGACCAGCCGTGAAAGAGCCCCTTTATGTTTTCGATGGAGTAAAACGGCCATCAGGACCAATATCATGAGCTGTGTGATGTTTCGTGCGGGTGTCCAGATGGCATTGGTTGAGTTGAGTCAGCTAAACGTTTTCAGCATGCGCTTCTGGTGTTTATTTATGCCGAAGGGCTTCTATGAGTGGCCACGCACTTGGCTAAAGCTTTCTCTGGGTCCAAAAAAGCCAAGAGATTTTCTGTTTCCTGGCGCTTCTATCATGCCACGAGCAACATGAAAGGCGTCAGTGTTGTCTTGTTTGAATCGAAGTTCACACTGGGTTTGACTGAAGCTTTTTTTCAAACCTGGCGTCTCGATCAGCTCAAAATTCCCAAATGTGGCACATAAGAAGAATTAATCGATAAATTTAGCTGTCTGGATTTTTTCTCTTTTTGTGCATTCTAGAAGCTGCAGCAAGTAGTGGTGACATTTTAGTTGTTTCTATACTTCTACGCGGTTTCGTCTGGGCTATAAGATTTCCTTTCCTTCATCATTTTCATTTTATCTTCGGTTTCGCCCACTGTGACAAGTGGGATGTGCTTTAGATCGTCGATCTTTCCTGCCAAGATGTTGTCAATTAGAATTTCGGTCCTCTAACATGGTACGTTACTAGGTGGGATTCTTTATTTTGAAAGAAGGAGTTTCAATAATTAGCTCCATTGGTGGCATGAGTCTCATGACTCGGCAACAATCCTCAGCCATGAAACCGTCGGTGAGTCACCTTTAGCTGTCTTCTTACTCTTCTTTTATTATGTCAATGTGTTCATTGAAATTTCCCACGGGGTACAAGTCTCCAGTTTTCTTGACCAGATGCGTGGATGTCAGCATTGAAGCATTGCTTCCAGAACTTGTCATTGACGGTGATGGGCAGATTTGCTTGTGGGAGCGATATGGGGTGTGCTGTTGTTGGGTGAGGTTCGTTAAGACTGAAAGCGACTTTCGCGTTTCGCAGCGCGACAAAATCTCTTTCTGTCCTAGCGAACCACACCCCTGTTGTTCAGTCATGATCCCGCACGCACGGCACGGTCAAAAACCTTTTGGGTGTCCTTGGTAGTGGGCTCCAATGTCTGCGACGCAGCGAGAGCGGAATCGTTA